ATAGCCTGACTCGCAACGGAGTGCTGCTACATCGACTGACAAATAGCCTGACTCGCAAGGGAATGCTGCTACATCGACTGACAAATAGCCTGACTCGCAAGGGAGTGCTGCTACAACGACTGACAAATAGCCTGACTCGCAAGAGAGTGCTGCTACATCGACTGAGGGTTTGGTTTGGCCAGGCAGTCTATCAATTAAAAAAAAAATTTAATATTTAAAACTTTTTCTGGTCTGGTTTATTAACGCGCTCTTTAAAACTACAGTTTATGGGAAATATTTTTTGATGCTACGCAAGAGACATGCAAGACTATATATATATACAGGCTTCGGCAGGAATAAAAACCGTACGGGCTATGAAAAGCCCGTCTTAATTAGACTTGACGGGCTATGAGGGCCGCCCGTCTAGATGGTCTTGCACGGGCTTTTTTAAACTTTAAAAAAAATTCTAAAGTTTGAACTTTTTTTTTTTTTAATTTGTTAATTTCTCTTCTTCTTTTTGAATGAAAATGTCATTGAATATTAAACATTTTGTGAATTGCACTAAAATAATATGTTAGAAAGCGATTAACTGTTTAAAATGCTTAATTACTTAAGTAATTAAAACACTGCCGTAAATGAGTTGGATAATACTTAAAACTAAGATTTCAATAATTGTTTTTCAAAGTTTTCACTTGCACAGATCTAATTTCGTTTCACGTGGGTTAGTTGTTTTATGGTTGCTTTTGTTTAAATTTTTTACTCGAAGGAACTTTATTCAGTTTTTTATGTTGTTTTTTTTAAAATCTTTATTCCAGATAATATCTGGCAGATATAGTCAAACGAATGAACGTGAAAACGACGGGAAAAATCCTCGAAACAACCATGGCGTTTCATCACGTTTCCTTATTCAAGCATCCTAACGCGTTTTTTTACCGAAGTCTTTTTGAGTATATTTATATATTATTGTTTTATTTAAGTATTCGATTAAATTATACAGGTTTTTATCGTGCTTTTTTAGTTCATTCGTTTCTCTTATTCTTTGTGAATAAAAATATTACATAATATTTTCAAAATCTAATTTTTTTAATTATTCAGCAAATAGTTTGAAATCTTTTTTTTTTTTAACCTTGAATCAATGAGCTCGATAGTTTTAGAATTGTTTGGTATTAGCTTGGTAATATGATACGTAACTATGTTATTTTTCAAATTCAATTATTTATATACTCTTGCATTCTATTGGGCGTGCTAATTAAAAACTTAAACTGTTATTTATATTTTTATAACTTTGCTTTACCTATGCCTATCCTGATCGGAAATAGTTATTCTGATACGTGAATAAAAAATTTGAAATCTAATTTCTTTTAATAAAATAAGTTTTTATTTAGAAGTACTAATAATTTCTTAAGATACCGGGGCTTCCGTTACTTTATATACAATTTAAGCATGTATATAAGCGTATGTATGTTGCTAGCTTTAACGTTCGTAGTGCCCTCTATAAATGCTAATGCTTTTGATTTTGCCAGACCTTTTAACTCGCGAAGCAATTCTTTTTTATATTTTATACAAACCATACACCATATCTTCACAACAAAAATTGTTCCATTCTCCACCTCAGTTTCTTTTCCACAGACTCCACCTTTACCCCAACTCAAAAATGTTGCTAATGTAACTCTTCTACCAGATGATGCCATTACTCTCTTTACTGAAAAACTTGAATAACTTGAAAAACTTGAATGACTGGATAACTTGAATAACTTCATAACTATAAAGCAACACTATTTATATTATCTACAAAAATTGATTAGACGTTTGTTGATCTTTAATGAGATATTTCATTTTCAATAACGAGTTATATAATTGCATATTAAATAAATTGCCGTCTCTTTAAGAAAAAACGTGAAGTTAACGCGGAAGTTAACGCGGAAATATCACTTTAAATGTCTTTAAAGTAAGACAAACTAGTTTATCGGAAAAAAGCGAAATACATGGATAATTAGTTTATTATCGTTATTATTATAAACATTGAAAAACCAAAACAACATGATACTTCTTGTGCATCACATGTGTATATTTCCCTATTTAATATAATAGTTATTAAATTTTGAACATAATATAGTAACTGTTTGGTATTATATCAAACAGTTATCGTCGTTTAAAAAACTGTAAGATTTAGTTATATTATTTTCTACATCATGTTATACAATAATGATTAAATTGTTTAATTTTTATATTTAAATATAAACAATTATAAGTTGGAGTTTGCTATCCATATTAAAATTATGTCATGAGAGAAGTTTTAAAAGAGTATCTTAATAAAAAAACATCAAAATATTCATCTTTTTTTTTACACAAAACTTATGTTTCAAACGGGCTTTATTTCGCCCGTCTAAACTGACTTAGACGGGTGCGGAGACGGACACGGGCTATAGCCCGTCATTCCTGCCGAAGCCTGTATATATATATATATATATATATATATATATATATATATATATAATATATATATATATATATATATATATATATATATATATATATATATATATATATATATATATATATATATATATATATATATATATATATATATATATATATATATATATATATATATATATATATATTAATGGTTACACATATAAATACATTATGTATTTATATTTGTTTATATAATAAGGTATCATCAATGTATTCTCTTGTTGATTTTGCAAATAAAGAATTTTGTTGAAAAGAATATCGTAGTATTGAGCTCATCATCACAAGCGCATATCTTTGAACTTTGTAAATGACAGTTTGGTAAGGCTAATGTTGTTTTTGCACATGAATTTGTAGGTATGATCTTATTAGATCCACCACCAAGTTATTGTTATTTTTACTCGTGAGTCTCCAATCCCTCATTGCATGGTTAATGACATCTGCATCCCTTGTAGAGGCTTTTACATAGGTGATAAGTTTGCGATAATCAATCACCGGTCTTATCTTCTTTTTATTATCTTGAATGACGCATATCAGCGATAGTAATCCTTTAGCTTTTCCCATAATTTTGTCTTTATATTTGATAAGTATGCCTTCTTTGATTCATTCATTAATTTCGTTGTTGAACCTTTCAGGATGTTGGTTAGATATGTTACACTGATTTGTTCTGTTTTTCATTTTAGGTTCGTTCTCCCACTCCCAACTTACAATCCATTTTTTGTCACCAAAATAAGTTTTGCTTGTTTCAAGTTCGTGTAGAAATACCTAATGCGAACTTATGCCATTTAAGTTTTCCTGGTTTTGTCCACATTTATAGCAGTCTTTTGCAGCATGTTTATGCAAGCATTTCTTGCATAAAAAGATACATTCACATGCAAAGTGATTTATTGATTCACAGTTTAACATTGCATTTCTTTCTTTCTTTGTATATAACTTGTCATTATAGTCCCAGTTGTTCAGTAACTTGTATTTACTTCTTCATTTACAGATAAACATTCCACATCTAATCTAGTTTGTCCAATCATGGATGCAGTCTTGACACAATCGCTAAAGCTCAACGTATCTTCTCTCCTAAGAATGACATGCAGAACAGCACCATCCATCAGAACATAAACATCCTCTGGCACTTCAGGTGCTGTTAATTCTTCCATAGTCTTTTAAATCTTCGACCGCAGAGGAGCAAAAAAGTACGCTATGTGTTGATCTGAAGTAATATTGTTTACCACAAAGAAAGAAGCCACCTGCCGAATAAATCCCTTTGGCTGTCCATCTTCATATTGCAGAGATAATAGACATGGTCGGTTAGTTTGTTGCTCAACGCATTTAAAAGCCATTTTGTTTTCAATGTTTCTATTACTTATCGATAACCTCAGTGTATTTACAACAAAATTGTTTGCTGTACATAGCATTTAAAAATACAAATTGTGTCTCTTGTCAACAATTAATGATCATTATACAAAATGTTTTAACAATAAAAATATGCAACATGTGACTTGTCAAATCACCATATATATATATATATATATATATATATGTATATATATATATATATATATATATATATATATATATATATATATATATATATATATATATATATCAAATCACAACATGGATGGTCATTTTTAAATTAGCCTGCGCGATCTAAAAAATACTTTTTTTCCTGTTATTTAAATTAAAATAAAACAGTGAAAACATTGCATTGAATAAATACTAGATAAGTTAATTCAAAAACATCTGGTAAAAAAAAACCTTTTTCATTAAAGTTAAACATTAATAAAGTTTTGTTGCAATTTAAAACAAAGCTTTTTTTTTTTTGACAAGCGCTTTTTTATGCGCTTGTCAAAGTTTTTGCAGTCGTGTGGGCGAGCTCAAAAAGACTTGAGTGTGAAAGCACTGACTAATTGGAGAAGACTGATATATATATATATATATATATATATACATATATATATATATATATATATATATATATATATATATATATATATATATATATATATATATATATATATATATATATATATATATATATATATACTATATATATATATATATATATTATATATATATATATATATATATATATTATATATATATTATATTATATATTATATATATATTATAATATATATATAACGTTCATGGTTTCATACTTGTTTGGCTTGGGCATATTTTTTTTAATGACATTTTATATATTTATATGGCATTAATTATTTATTTTATTTATATATTTTATTACATTATATATTTATATGGCATTATATTGAAGAGTTAAAGCAATTTTTTTAGTATTCAAAGTAATAAGCCTAAAAAGCCTAGTTTGATCTAATATAAGATCAGTTTCTATCTTAATATAGGATAAAGATGTTTTAATTATAGTGAAGGATCTCTTTCTCTTTACATATCATTTTGTATTGAAAATCTAACATTATAAAAGAGTAACTTTTTGATCAATATATTACTAGATATCTATAAATAATATTTAAATATAAATATATCTAAAATATAATGTTATATATAACATATTTGTGTAAAATGTATACCTTTCACAGTACAAACAAGATCGTCATGGTTAACCATATCAATTAAAGTCTCAATTGGAGGAGTTATGACCTCTATGTTAGCTATTGCAGAGGATATCATTTCTTATTCTATAAAATTTGATACAAATAAGAATATAGCTAAGTAAATAAAGATTTAGGAAACACAAAAAGTCTTGTCAAAAAAATTTTAAATCTTTAAATATCTCATTTAATATATCATAAAAATTCTTAGATAAAATCTATAAGCATTCATAACATGATCATATAATATGTTCATATGGTATATGAACATATTATATGATCATGGGTTTAATATAAAAAAGAAAGAAAAAAAGATACTGCTAAAAATGGCAAGGATTCAAAAACACATGAAATAATTATTTAAAACTTTGATTTAGAAGTGGCTATATACAAAAATATATCTGGTTTTTGACCTGCATAGTATATTTAAGTAAGAAGACTAATATTTATTATTATACATAGTATTAAAACAAAATTCACTGCATTACATTGAAAATGTATAATTATCAAAAAATTTTATACATCTATGACAACAACACATCAATACATGTTAAGAGCCTGGAAAAATAGTGGCTTCCGAAACCTAGCACTTACTTGATTTTGTTTAAAACTTTTTTCCTGGATTTAGCAAAATATTTAAAGCCAGTATATGTTTTAAATTTTGCAATATATATTTTAAAATTTTTAAAAAACAAAAGTCAAATCAATAAATTACTTTTGAAACATGTTAAAATTTATTTTTATTATATTTAAATTTTTTTTATCTCTTTCTTTTCACAGAATCAACTAAATCCAAGCTATCTTTTGCTTTTTGATATAAATGCAATAACTGATTAGCTTGAGTTAGCTCATTTCTACGTAAAAGTTCTTTTTCTGCAGTGCTGTAAAATATACGTAACTCATCTTCTGAGACTTTTAAAAATTTATGAAAAGTTGAAATATTTGAATCTAATATCCATTCAAGTTCTTCATTAGATAATGTCATTAAAGAAATCATAGCTTCTGAAATACTCATATTATTTAGTTTTTTAATAACCTGAGAAGGTATTGTTGCAAGAGGTGTTTTAATAAATGTCTCTTGACTTTCAGAAGTCTCTAATTTTCCATCTGTAGAGTCAAAAATTGTCGCCACTTTTTCCTGTTCATTACTCCTTACAATTAAATATGTGTTTTCTGGCAGTAAACCAAAATATTCCTCATCATCGATAAGAGTCCCATCTTCTGCCAAAACCACATTGACATCTAATGTGCTGTGAACAATAAATCCAAAAATGCTAATACATCTTACTTTGAGCTCTTCTAGACATGAAACAACAATACCCTTGAATAACTTATCTTCTTTAGCAACTTTAAATGGTTTTCTTTTTAAGTCTGTAAACTCCATGAAAATATCAAACTACCTTGACAAATATTTAATTATTCAATTTGTTGTTCTATCATTAATTAATTAAGAAAGCCTAATAACAATAACATTTTTAAAAAATTATTGCTAATATTATTAATAATATTTATTACTTGTACTAGTACTGTTATTTTTTGTTAATATTATTAATAATAATAACAATAATAACAATAATAATAATAATAACAACAACAACAACAACAACAACAATAATTATAATAATAATAACAACAACAACAACAACAACAACAACAACAACAACAACAACAACAACAACAACAACAACAACAACAACAACAACAACAACAACAACAACAACAACAACAACAACAACAACAAAAACAACAACAATAATAACAATAATAATATTAATAACAATAATAGCAATAATAACAATAATATTAGAACATTTATCATCATAATAAAGAGAAATTTCCGTAAATTTTTTTTTTTAGTAGTTCCCATTAGGTATCGTAAGGGTTTTAATTGGCACACCATTAAATGTGTAACTTCGTAAAATTGTGTGAAAAAATATTAGCAAAGTGTTTTTTGTTGTTGTTGTTGTTTTTTGTTCTTTTTTACTGTTTTTTAAATAAAATTTAAGGAAAAGTAATCGATTAAGCTCGTTATTTTTTATTAAAAAAAAAGCGCTTCGCGATTTTTTTTGGAAGAAAGTCCGTTATATTAAGTCCCCTCAGTACCACATTAAAATTATTAAAATTCATCGAGTGCTTTTTTTTATTTGCCTTTTTTTTTCGTTTTATTACGTAAAAAAGTCATATTTAACTTTCTTTTTTTTTTTTTTAAATGCTAACAAATATAGAAAATAATGTAAAAAACGGAAGCTAAAAAATATAAAATTTCAAATTTTTAATTAAGACACTATAGGTTAGCTTAAGGTTTTTTTTTAATATTTAATAAACCTAAAAGTTGATATCAAATTTTGGAATTTTTGATCTTTTACATTTTTTGGCGTTGGCCTTTCTATATTTATTTATTTCTTATTTTTTTAATGTTATTTTTCAGGTGCCCCAAGAAGTACTTAAGGCCTTATCACAGAGCACCGCTGCAGAGCATTTTTAGGGAAGTTAACATTTTCTTCCTTACCGATGTTACAAAACTCCCCCAGAGGGAGAGTTTTGTTTTGAGCCTCGGATCTCTAGCTTCTGAGGCAAGCGCGCTAACAACTGGGCTACGGCTGCTCTATTTATTTTACATAAATGTAGAAAGATTGTTCTATATTTCCATATTTATTTAAAAGAAATATTTTTTTTTATAAATATAGAAAGACTAACTTTTTATATTTTTTTTACATAAATATAGAAAGGCTAACGGTAATCAACTAACTCAGCGTATGAGCAACTCAGTACGAAGAAAACTTGTCTCAATTAGCTCGACTTTATCATAAATTAAAAAATTAGTTTTGTTAAAACATTACCGAGCGGGCACTCGTCGTCCTGAGGACGTCCGCTTGACGTCTCATAGACGTCCAGACGTCCGTAAGACGTCAATGGACGTCCCCCGGACGACGTCTGTGGTCTCTAAGTTTAGGCCGATACCCACTGGGTATCGGCCTAAACTTAGAGACTCTGACCTCAGTTCTAAGAATCAAGAGAAATTTTTTTTCTTATATTTTTATATTAAATTTTTATAATTTATAAGTCTGTGTAATAACAATCTCATTGAGCTTATTCTTTGATGAACTCGTTGTTCTTAAGGTGGCTCAAATAGAAAAAAAAAATTTAATTGCAGCCGTTCATAAATATTTTATTGTATTTTTGATGATATATGAAATCCAAAATTTCATAAAAAAACTATAAATAAATTATATTTAAAACAATTTTTAACATAATCAGGGCTAAATTTAAAAATATTCAAAACACGATTTCTTTATTCTGGTTGAAACTCTATAATTTTTTGTTTATAGGTTTGTTATATTATCATTATTCATTTCTACTAAAAAAAGTTAAAATATTAGAAACAGGACGCAATACTTAAAAAAAATAAAAAGTTTATAATTAAAAAAATACAGGTGCTGTGTTATAAAAATTTCTAAAACTATTCTTAGTTGATCATTTAAGTAAAACTGAAACTTTAATGATTAAGGAACTAAAAATTTTATTTAAAAAAACTTTTCTAAATTTCAAGATATCAGGTTTTGAAGTTGCAAAAAAAAAAAAGAATGAAATTAAAAAGTTATGAAAACAATGAAAAAAGCTTTCTAATAAAAATTTAGGCAAAAAAACTACAGTGACCAATAAAAAAAATATGTAAGGTACTATTAATAAATATTTTATGCCAAATGTATATATTTCTAAAGAATTAACTATTTCTTTTAAAAAAATTAAGTATTTTTTTCAATATGAGCCACCTTAAAACTGTTTGTAGACTCCACTGCCACGCCGCACCGTCGCGCCGCCACGCCACGTGTTTAACACTGAATCGATATATCATTTCTAACTGGAGTAAAAGCTGAAATTATTTTGTTTGCATAAATTGTTAGATACAAATCAAAGCCAGTATTCTAATTTAAGCGACATGCATGAAAATGCATGCGCTTAAATTAGAATACTGGCTTTGATTTGTATCTAACAATTGCAATGCATGAAACACCAATGGCAATTAAAAATATATCTATTAATGAACTAAATAAAAAAATAGTAATCGTAGTTTTACAATACGACAACTGGATAGTTATGGCTTCAGTGTGTGGTCAAACCAAACTATACTTCTTTAGTTCTTTATCGATCCACTAGGATCGAAAAAGAACCAAAAATCATTGTTGATATTTTTTTTGACTTTTACATCTTTAACCTGTTATAAAAATCTTAGCATTTTATTTATCATTTAAATGTGCTCTTTCCAATGGTAATGAACTAGTCTGTTCAATTAATCTAAAACGCTTTTACTAGCCATCTCTTCTTGTTTTGCCTTGGGACAGAAATTACTATTGTACATTAGGACGTCCCAAGGTGCAAGTTAAAAAGAGAAATAAAGTTAGGAACAAAAAAATAATTCTTTGTCAATGAGAAAAAAAAGCAAAAGTAATCCTATGAATAAAAACAAAGCCGAAACTGCTTCATTTTTCTGCATGGTTTTCCTCTCATTGTGCTGTCCAATCGTAACCATTACTTCTATATTTATTGCCAAAACAATTTTTCATAAAATAGACGTCTGTATAATATTTTTGTTATTTAGATGCTCCCAGAAGTGCTTACGGTCTTTTAACAAGCATTTAACAATAAAAGAGCAATTTTATTTAAAAAGTTCACACCTCTTTCCGTACCAATGTCACTTGTTGGGCTATAGCCCAACAAGTGACATTGGTACATATAGCTCTATAGAGCTACCGTCCTAATAGCCCTATAGCTCTATAGAGCTACCGTCGAACCTTGGACCTCTGGGTTCTGAGCCAGAGCTCCAACCACTGCGACACGACTGCTCAATATTACTAGAAAACATTGTAAAAAGATTTTGTCTAACGCCAAAGCCCGCTATTTTCAGGACAAAAAATCACGTACTTTATCTCAAAAATTAGGCTTTGGAGACTTTTGGAGGAAAATACTTTTTGAGAAAATTTTTGGAGAATCTTTAATAGAGTCAATAAAACGGGCAAATCTGTTATTCCTTCTCTACTGCATGGCTAAGATTTTACTAGCCTAAAGACAAAGCTGAATTGTTTGCTAAGAACTTTTTATTATCTTATCTCTTGATTAATCACATCCTACCTGGTATACCTGACAAACAGTGTATTAATAATCTCTCACCTAACCCTAAACTGTTTTTTAAATTTTATATTTAATATATAAGTATTTAAGTTAAACTCAAAGCATCGTATCTTTTTTGTTTTTCGTGATTATTAAGGTCCTTACGGTCTTATCACAAAGCACCGTGGAAAAGCATTTAACCAGGAAGTTCACGCCTTCTTTTTTACTAATGTCGCTTATTGGTTGGAGCCGGGCTTGAACCTCGGACCTCTAGGTTCTGTACCAGAACTCTATCCACTGCACCACGGTTGCACTTTACATATTTGTGTACACTGTACACACTGTATATATTTGAATACCGTCAACCGGGGTTACTTTGAACGTTTTTGAGATATTTTTGTATGCCCCTCCTTCATTAGTGACAATATTTAAAATTTAACATTATGCATATAGGAGCTATGGCTGGCTCTTGCATAGTTCAAACTCAAAATCATATTTAAACAAAAAGATTTGGTATAATATTTATTTACTTATCTACTTGGTTTAATATTTTACCTAAATGGTTTTTTTTGTCTTAATGGGTATGTTTTAACAAGACCTGCATAAAAAGAATCTTCATTCTTTAGTTTTTTATGTTCAGGAGTAGAAGACAACTCAGATGAAACAATAGTTTCACTAATTTGTTTCATCATAGTTAAAAACATTACAGGAAGGAATTTGTATTTCTTCATCATACTTCAAAGTAATTTTCAAATTATCAAAAAACTTATTAATTTCAGAACATAAAACTGATGCCCTATATTTTTTAATATTCTGACTCATTCGTAGAGTGAGATCAGCATTGTGACGCTTTAAAAAACTATGAGCCCACTCACTTCCAGGAAAGTTATTGTTAAATTTAGGAACAAAATTATCAATATCCAAAATTGACTTTCCTAAAACACGAAGATCCATGATATCAAAAGGAAAACCCCAAGCAGCAACAGCAATAACATGTTGCACAATTGCTAATTCCTGCATAGACGTAAAAAATGTGGGTTTTCCTGGTTTTTTCAGATTAAGTCTTTTAGCTTTATTATACAAAGTCCTAACCGGAATCCCATGAATATATGATGCTTTTCTGACAAACCACTATTGATAGTTATCATAGCATTTGATACATGTTGTTCAGAATAATTTTTATATGGCTTGGAATCAATTTTTTGTATAAACGTTGCATAGTACTATTATGATATGCTAAAAGTAGATTTAAAGATAAATGCAACACAATTTAGAACGAAAACACAAATATTATATGATATGGTTGAAAATTTATTAGTAGTTTCTCCAAAAAGTATATATATACATATATATATATATATATATATATATATATATAT